TTGTTTGTATATAGGAATAACTTTAGCACATTTCCATTCGTTTGGGAATATGCCTGTAGTGATAGAACGATCAAAAATAAGACAGAGGGATTCTGCAATTAAGTCAGAGCATTCTCTAATTAACCTAGAAGATATTTTGTCTAAACCTGTTGCTTTAGAAGTGCTTAACGTGGACAGTAATGCGTAAACGGTTGGAATACTTATTTCCCTCAGTTGAAAAATAGCATTATTTTGGTTAGGTAAATAATCAAGATAAGACCGATTGCTATAATTAAGATTAATTTTATCTGCAAGGTCTGGTCCGATGTTTGAAAAGTGATCGTTAAACGCATCAGCAATTTTGCTAGGGTTATTAATTAATACGCCATTCAAATCAACCTCGCCAATGTGAGGGCTTTTCCTATTTTTAGAAGTAAGTTCATTAATGATCTTCCAGGTCTTATTAGGATTGTCTTTATTATCATTGAAAGAATTTTTGAAATAGGCTTGCTTTGCGTAGAAGATTTCAGAATTAACAAAATTACGCATTTTCTTAAAAGAAAGCCAATCTTGATTATCGTTGGAACGAATTGCTTTAATTTTTAGGACATCTCGCCTATGCATTTTATCTTTCAAAAGAGATGTGATCCAAGGCGATTTAATAGCCTTAACGCGCTTAGCTCGAATTGGGGCGTGCTTATCTGCGATAGAATTGAATGTGGCTTTCCAAGCATGCCACATGTCATTAGGGTTTTCGTACTGATTGATATAGTTCCAACTCTGTTGACTAATATCATTACGAAATTTAGTAGAATCAAAGTTTTTAAACTTTCTGTAGTTTATTGAAGAATGTACCCCCGTCGATGAACCCACAGAAAGGTTGCGAAAGGCGTAAATAAGACTATGATCGCTTATACTCACATGAGAAACACCAGAGCAAACAACCTTGTCAGGAGTATTTGTGAAAATATGATCTAACAATGTTGAGGAGGAGTCTGTGATTCGAGTAGGTTCATTTATAAGCTGAGAAAGATTATATAAATCGGCAATATCCATGAGTGACTTCGTATCATGATCTAAGACTGTAGAGCTCAAATCACAGTTGAAGTCGCCCATGAGGTAATACTCGATATTTTCGGAATCGAGCATACCTAGAAGAATTTCAAAATAATTAAACATTGCTACAGGCGAATTAGGAGGCCTGTACCAAGTGGTAATAAGAAAAGGCTTGGCTCTAGGTTTATTAACTGAAATACACAGGTTTTCCAATTGCTCAAAAGATAGATCATGCCGAACTGAAAAATTTATACAGCTACGAATATAAAAACAAACCCCACCACCAAATCTACCATTGGAATCTCTATCTCGCCTAACAATTTCGTATCCAGGTATATGTACTTCGTTGTCTCCAACCGTAGAGTCAAGCCTTGTCTCATTAATAGCCAGTACATCAATCACATTATTTGATAGATAGATTCTAAGCTCATCAATATGTTTGACTAAACTGGTGATATTAAGTGAGGCAAGTTTAAAGCCACTCCTGTTTGGCAAGAGCAGGTTTTGAATGTTAGAAGTAGTTTGCATAGTCTTAGATTGAACATTATTTACTGAATTAGCAACTCTAGACAACGTAATATCATGTCAATTTTCTAAGTTATTTATAAACTCTTTGAAATTGTTTTGGAGGGATATACTGCCTAATTTATTTAAATGGAGACCTCTACTGTTAAGGTGACTAGTGTTAATATTAGCGTTTTTAAGGAAGGGAATATTGTTCATATGACAAAGATTTTCTAAGGTGGAGTTGACTTGATTAACCTTGGTGGCTAATATCGGGCAATCATTTCTGATTAACAACGCAGAAACACCTACCATGGAGTTAGGAGAATCCTCTTTGAGTTGGGTTGTCAGATTCAAAATAGAATCGGTAATAACTTTCGGCGTAGAATTTTTCAGATCATTAGTGCCAACATGGAGGATAATTTTGTCCGGTGACTTGCGGGTTGTAGGTTTGATAAAATGCACAATATTACTCATTAGTATAAATTTTGCATATCAAATGAGCACGATTTGACTGCGTATCCCCGTATCATTGAAAAATAATAGTTACCCATTCTCCTCTTAAACTACTCGAATAATTACGTCATTTTAATGACTGCGTATCCCCGTATCATTGAAAAATAATAGTTACCCATTCTCCTTTTAAACTACTCAAATAATTACGTCAATTTAATGACTGCGTATCCCCGTATCATTGAAAAATAATAGTTACCCATTCTCCTTTTAAACTACTCGAATAATACGTCATTTTAATGACTGCGTATCCCCGTATCCCCGTATCATTGAAAAATAATAGTTACCCATTCTCCTTTTAAACTACTCAAATAATTACGTCATTTTAATGACTGCGTATCCCCGTATCATTGAAAAATAATAGTTACCCATTCTCCTCTTAAACTACTCGAATAATTACGTCATTTTAATGACTGCGTATCCCCGTATCATTGAAAAATAATAGTTACCCATTCTCCTTTTAAACTACTCGAATAATTACGTCATTTTAATGACTGCGTATCCCCGTATCCCCGTATCATCGAAAAATAATAGTTACCCATTCTCCTCTTAAACTACTCGAATAATACGTCATTTTAACGACTGCGTATCCCCGTATCCCCGTATCATTGAAAAATAATAGTTACCCATTCTCCTTTTAAACTACTCCAATAATTACGTCATTTTAATGACTGCGTATCCCCGTATCCCCCAAAAGAAAACACTATCAAAATTCAAAAGTGGCCGGGTATTCTATAATCGCTCCAAAACTGGTGAACACAGTATAAAAAGATACAATATTTATAGGGTTGGTGCAAGCCCACCACAATTATAATGGTGCAAATTTCTAGCTTAAAGATGTGGGTGATGCACTTAGTTGACATGTGTAACATCGTTCTGCTTTGCTATTTGCTTTTAAATGAATATAAATTAGAGTTTCAATTTAAAAGATGTTAAAACAATGCAATATTTGGGTATAGTTGTTTACACCAGAGGGTCCTCACATACAGTAGCATATATGCAGAACAGGCTTGACCCCACCTTTAACTTACCTAAAACTATAAAAACAGGTACCGTATTTCAGATGAGTATATATTGAGTAAGGCCACATAAAAAAATTACTTGTTTAGCGTCCACCCATTTTAATTTTTCTAGGTCGGGCGGTCGGGGGTTGTTTTTTTGGGGTTTTTTTTTTCGTAAAATGCAACACAAAATTCTGCTAAATGCAGGAAATCCAGTATATTACCACAGTCAAAACTCACTTTAATTCTTTCAAAATCCGTTCATGTTTTTTAATACAGTTCATGTTTTTAATAAAACAGAAAATTACCGTTTGGCGGTCACACGCGAACACTTTAGCTGCGAACAGGCATATTCTGGGAAGGAAACTTTGTGTAAACGTATTACATAGCTCCCAGAAGAATAAAATCACCATTTTTTCAAGTAAAACGGTCTTTTTTATAGAGAGTTTTTGCACTAAACTCGGATGGATTTAAAAAAAAATTTAAAAAAATTGGAGGTCGGGGACTTTTGTCAGGTTGGGCGGGGACGCTAAACAAGTAATTTTTTTTTATGTGGCCTAACATGTGTATCTTTTAGCTACATGAGCTACATGCATAACACAGGCAGTGATTCAAGTCATAAGACAGTTTAAATGTGCTAAAATATGTAATGTGGGCTACAATCTTCTAGGGAGGCTTGGGGGATGCTCCCGTGAGAAAATCCCTTTCCAAAAGTACTGTTCCTCATCCCACTCCCAGTCACTATGTTGTCTTGTAACATGTTATGTATATCAGTGTCACCATAAACATTTGTGACGAATTTAGTAATAATAATTTAAAGAGTGAGTATCTTGCCAGTGATCCTTTGCACGCTTGTGTTTACATTTTATGTTTACATTCAGCTGTACCGTACCTGATGAATATACTCCCATTACAAACATTTTGCATAAAAAAAATGCAACATTTCACAAGATACATGTATATAATGACTTGCTTCATTTAACAGATGAAATAGAGTTGTTTTTCCATAGGATTCCGATAAATTTGGGCCAACACCAATTAATCGGATAAATATCTCAAGAGTCAGCCATTTTCTGGGACCCCAAGTGCCCAAAGGATCACTGGCATGATACTCACTCTTTAATATTTTGCATTCTTTGTTTGTGTTTTGTATGTTTATCATCCACTGAGTGCCTGCTAGAGCTCTCCCCTTACTTAACAAGTAAAATCATCTGGCGTTAGACAGGGCAAAATAATAGAGTAGGGCATTGGGGTGCAATTCAACTTACAGTATAATTGCCTGGTTAACTTCCTGGCCTCTTAAGGTAGCTTCAGAGGTGGTTGTACATAATGCAAACAGTTGTTGTAGTGTACAATAAAGTACCGTACATACTGTTTTTGCCAATGATGTTACAGTATCTCTTTGGACTATGATTTGTTTAGTTATGTTATGTTATAAAATAACTACTATCCATCAATCAAATCTGAAAATCTGAGCAGGGAGCTGAAAACATGTATGTACATTGCATAGCTCAGGCCAAAGTTTAAAGTTAATGCACTTGGTACTGTAGCTCTGATGACTTACCAACTAATAAATCAATAAAACCATGTCTCGTACAATTAGATTATTAAACCATGGAGGCTGAGATACATATATACTGTATGTAGTATGACAATAAATGTATAGTGTTTCTACTGTATAGTTCCTGGTGCAGTGACATAAGTAAAAAAATTCCTTCAATTCGACTTTTGAGCTTGTTTACATTCATACTAAAAAATTTTACCTACTGTACAATAGATTACAGTTTACTGACTATTTCATTAATGAACTAATTTACCAATGAGTTGACTGAAAAACCTTCAACATGCAATTGTCATGCATTGCCATACCATGTGACTGTGCACATACAGAAACATGGACATACTAAGACAATTGGTATTGGCAGGGACGTCGCTACTGTGGGGGTTGGGGGTGTAACACCCCCCCTCCCCCCAATAATTCAAAACGTTGGTAAAAGTTGGTCAAAATGGAAAATATTTGCTTAAAATTAAAATTGAAGGTCAAAGTTGGTAAAATTTGGTCAAAGTTTGAGATAAAAGATGGTCAAATTTGGCCAAAGTTATGAAATCGTTCGCAATTTTAACAATTTCTAAACTTTGGTTATGTTTTCGCCGAAAAAGTGCAAGCCTTGCTTATTTTGGTTGAAAAAATTTGTTTGACCAACCCATCCTCAACATTTTCAGGAAACATTTCTACGACTTGGTCAAAATTATAGGAAAAGTTGGTCAAAATATGACCCCCCCCCAATGTTGATGCTTTCGCGATGTCCCTGGGTATTGGACAATTTTTTCATTTTGCCCCTTCCCACATAATACAATGTAGCAAAATCCATAACATGTACCTAATTTTAGTGTGCAGTGATAACCAATTTGTGCAGTGATAAACAGTAAAGATGTGAATTTGATGTCCATTTGGTGTCAGTGATAAATTCTTAATTTAATTTTATAGTAATATAGAATCCATTATTTTGACCTTATTGTGCATATTTCATATTATGTAAATGAAGATATCCGAGTGTTTTTCAAAGAATTGTGTTTCAGTTGCACACTAGCTATTGTCTATTGTTCTGTGAAAAACCGCAGATCCGTTTAAAAGTTCATCTTGGATTGCTTTTAGTGGACAAGGGCATTGCCTATAAAATTTTTCTGGCTTGAAATTTTAAAATTTTGCAGTGATAAAAAGTGCAGTGATAAAAATTTCATAAAATTAGGTAAGATCCACAATCCAACAAATAAAAAGTCGTGTCCCAAATCAGATTGGAATACTGTAGATGTCAAAAGGGCCATCTGATCTGAACTCTTAAAATTGCAAATGTATGAAATAATGCACGTTCAACCAAGTCTAAAGGTTAACAATTATGCAGTTACAGCTGTACACTAATCAATCAGTCATGCACGATCTGACTGATACTTACAGTAATTGACAAACTGGGTCTCGTTTGTCTCTTCTTTAAGTTGACCTGCCCATGTCTTCTCAGCCTGGCATCTTGTCCTGCAGCAAAATCCCCTATAACCATCTCAATATTCAACCTCTGGCTTTAAATTCTCACTGGTATTCTCATTTTTCTGCACCTTCGTCATTCAGATCCATACAGTATCACCGGCCTCGGCAATGTTTTATAGATTTTACATTTCAACATTCTTGGCATTTTCCAGTCACCAATTTACAAGAGCCTCTTTCATCCTTCCATAATCCTTCATTGCTGTTTATTCAAGCCTCAGTTTGCTACTCTCCTTCTGCCAATTCTTATATTTATCCTGTAATTCGTCTTCTTAGACTTAGTTCTGTTCTCTGCGGTTTTCTAAATAGCACGTCCTCATTCTTAGTTAATATAAACTTGTACGATTGTTGGTACGTGTACCTGTACCTACATAATATGCAATCACGTTTATGTATTTTCCCAGAACCAAAAATCTAAATACTGTAAATATCAGGGGGCCGGTTGATCAAAACAAGATTTAATAACGTATAACCCTTGCCCTTGGGTTAAAATTTAACCTGCTCTTTTCCGTGTATTTAAAAACTTCGGAACAAAAAATTTCTCATCCAGATAAGATTTCTGGAAAAATATTTCCAAGTTTATGAACGAGCTTTGGTAGTTTGACGTTTTACATTATTAACCTACAGTACTTAGGATTAAGCTAATCGCCGTTTGAACGACTGGACCCTATAAGTTACAGTAAAACTATTGTAAATTACAGTAAAACTATTGTAAGTTACAGTAAAACTGTTGTAAATTACTGTAAAACCATGAGTATGAGAACATATTAACTATGAGTTACAGTAAAACTATTGATCGTGTTAACATAACTCGTGTTTCAATTTTTGATCTCCATTTTGTTTTTTCAGAATGATCAGACAATTGATACGGTGAATGTTGGTGGTCTGGAAGAAGTTCAGTCAAATGATCCTGCCGTGATGAAGTCTACTAGTTTAGGTAGTCTAGATAGTGACAGTGAACATGTCCAAGATTTACATGTCAAAGTTGAGGATCCTGAAAAACACATTGAAGGCTATGTCAGTTACTACGTTAAAACAAAGGTTAGGTTTTACTAACTTTATATACAGCGAAAATGAATATAGATTAGGCATATAAGGCATAGCCCATGCACTAGGAGCAATTTAAGGTATATGTTGTACAGCATGTACAGTACCTGTAGATCAAGTTTAGACGAAACTGAAAATGAAAATATTTAAACTATAGTGAAACGGTAAATAGAGTTTAAAAAATTGACACGAACTGAGGGTCCACAATACAGTGGGTTTTGCGGGACTGATGGATCTGGGGTAACGTTTGAAAGGTGATGAAGGGAAGAAAAATGTGGATCCCTAATATTAAATAATTAGTAATAAGAGACCTGTGGATTTGTTTGGCTATGCCTATCCTATGCACCTATCATTACTGTACATTTTCTGTTTGATGTACAGTGTTACATTATTATTATTCAGCTCACTCCCCATGGGGGCTTTTCAGTGACCGATTACATCAAGTATTACTCTTACTCATGTTATTTACTTAGCCTAGACTATTTACTGTATCTTTACAACAATTGTGGTATTACTTACCTAACTATGTTTATCCTAACTTACCCTGCCAACTTGTCCTGAGGGACTCTAGCCTGCGTAACGGCTCTCAGAGAAAGTAGAGCCTGCACGAAAACCCATACTTTGCCATTTCCGCCCACTTAGCCTGCGGGCTACGCCCATTTTAAACAGATGTCAAAATTGGCCAATCACACAGATTGTTTACGTTTGCAAATGTACTTATCAAAATGAAATATAAATATAGATTGCTGTATGTTCGCAAATTTCAAAACGAAATACTGTAATATACGGATGGCGGCTAAAGAAAATTGAAGTCTGTTGGAATAGCGCTAGGCCTAGGGCATCTCCATCGTTGTCACAAGTAGTTTGCAGTCCGTATCTACGATATTTCGTAGCTTTCTCGCACACGTACAAATAGAATTTATAGTTTCGACAGCGGTCAACCGTGATGTATTAAATGTTAAAGTTTCGAGCGATGCTGATAAGAGAATATTAAAGGTGTTTAAAGCCATCACTTCACAGAGAGCAAGTCCTGTTCATAAGACATAAGCATTTATAGCAATTCTCTCCTGGCACAAAATTATTAGCTACAAAATCATGAAGAAAAACTCTATTTGTCGTCGATGAATTTATGAAAACGAACACGCTCGTGAGTTGTGAAAGAGGCGCTGCTAACAGACAGCAATCCAACGAAGACACCAC